TCTTACTGCTTCAGCTTTCTATCCCGGTGAAGACTAGTCGTCTGCCGGGTAGATAGACTGAGAGGGCTTGGTCAGCTTAAGAGATTCCAAGCTACTGTCGGATCTTCCGCAGTCTAATCAACAGTAAATCAACCCAGGGAAATACAATTGAAATTTAACTAAGGAGCTAGGGGGATTCATTCCCGAGTGACTCTTACCTACTTGAGAAGACCGAATAATTTCCTGCTTTCTTTCTGCTTTTGCTTTTAAACAACAATCACTTACTTTAGTTGGCTAGATAACAGAGAATCACTGAGTAAGCAGTAGACCTAGACCCCGGGTTGATAATATAACTTGCCTGTTACTGCATTCCCGGTCTGCGATTACACTTGGTCGCAGATTGGTGTTGTGTTTTGGCGTGTCAAGTTTTTGGCGCCGTTGCCGGGGACCCTCTAGGTTATTGGGGAAACGTGAGAATTTGTTACTCTAGCTTTTTATTTACTGCATTTTATCTCTTCCACCTGTGTGCCTTCACGGGTTGCTTCTGCTGATTGTGTGCAGGTAGTGCATGACCCGTAGCTAGTCGGGAGATCTACTACCACTAGACCAGGAGCTTGAACGAACCTGCAGAAACTTCAAGCGGGCTCTAAAGGCGCGACTGGCTGCGGAGGAGGCGCTAGCCCAGCTACAGATCACTGAAGAAGAGGAGATGGCTGATCCACAGGGCCATGCTGTGGTCGATCCCGAGGAGCAGACCATGGGACATTACTGGACCGCTAGAGCTGCGGACATGAGGTCACCCATTCAACATCCTCATGTCCCAGCCAACAATTTTGAGGTGAGCACCTCAGTAATCACCATGTTGCGCGGTTCAGTGGTGTTCCGTGGTAAGGAGGGGGAGTGCCCCCGATCACATCTCAGGCGATTCCACGAGCTCATTGATGGAATCAAGATCAATGGGGTACCAGCAGATGCCATCCAGCTGAGGTACTTCCCATTCACCCTGGAGGGGCAGGCCAAGGAGTGGTTAGATACTCGACCTCCAGGTTCTATCACCACGTTCGCCAACCTGGCGGACAAGTTCCTCACACGCTACCATCCTCCATCCAAGACGGCGGATTTGCAGAAGCAGATCACCCACTTCACCCAGGACGAAGATGAGACCATCAGGGATGCTTGGGAGAGATACACCAGTCTGTTCCTCAGGTGTCCCAATCATGGTTTCAATGATGCGTTCAAGGTGGGCACCTTCTATCACGCCCTTTTCCCGGAGGACAAGCAGCCGATTGATTCGGTTTGTGGCGGGAACATGCTGACCAAAACACCGCCACAGCTGAATCAACTCTTTGAGGAGATGGCGGAGAACGGGTACGATTAGGGCACTGCCAGGAGATCGAGACGAGCACCAGGCCGGGGTGTGCATGCTGTGGGCACCCAGTCATCTGATCTGGTGATTGTGGTATCGAAGCTGGTTTCAGCTATCGATCGTTCTGGTTTGATTGCAGGTACAGGACAGCCGCAGGCGATGCACTGCCAGTGGTGTGAGAGCTCCCATCACACCGTAGAGGATTGCCAGGCGATGAGGGAATCGTCTACTCCCCAGGAGCAGGTGGACTTTATCAGTAATGCCAGGCGCTTCGACCCCTACAGCAACACTTATAACGAGGGGTGGCGCCAGCATCCTAACTTTTCCTGGGCTGGGGCAAATCCCAAACCACCAGCTCCCCAGGGACCACCAGGCTTCCAGAGGCCGCCATATCAGCCCAGACAGGGGAAATTCCAGCAGCCACAACAGTCTCTCTACCAGCCCATGCAGGGGCATGCTGCTCCATCACAGCCGCGACCTTTCCAGCAGCGAGGTGCAGCCCCTGCCGCCCTAGTGCAGAATGATTAGATGGCTGAACTGCGAGAATTGGTGGGTTCTCTCGCCAGTTCTAGTGCTCAGAAATTCAATACTATAGAGCAGTTCATGGAAAAGGCATCGGGTAAATTCCTGGCTCTGGAAGCTGGCCAGAGGAACACACAAGCTGTCTTGCAGGATATCCAGACCCAGCTGGGGAGTGTGGCTCAAGCAGTGGCACAAAGGGCTCCTGGTACTCTGCCCGGTCAGACCATCCCTCATCCTCAGAACCCGAATGAGCACTGCAATGCCATCATAACCAGAAGTGGCAAGATGACTGTTGATCCACCTGCTCGGGCACAAGAGAGAGAGGCCCCTGCCTCGGCATCTCCAGCAGCTGAAGAAGAAGTAGAGAAGGAGGTTGAGGTGCCTGCACCTAAACCGCAACCAGTAGTGAAGAAGTATATCCCTAAACTCCCCTTCCCTACTCGGTTGCACAAAGACAGGCTGGAGGCAGAGTTCGAGAACTTCATGGCCATGCTTAGGAAGCTGAATGTCCAAGTGCCTTTCCTGGAGGCACTATCTCAAATGCCTAAGTATGCGAAGTTCCTGAAGGATCTTCTCTCAAAGAATCAGAAGCTGAGCGAGCTGGCCACTGTGGAGCTCAGCGAGGAGTGCTCGGCCATTCTGCAGAACAAGCTTCCGCAGAAACAGAAGGACCCAGGTAGTTTTACTATCCCGTGCTCTATAGAGAATTTGCATGTAGAGAGGTCATTGGCGGATTTAGGTGCTAGTATAAATGTTATGCCATATAAACTGTTTAAGAAACTAGGCCTAGGTGAACCCCGTGCTACTAGGATGAGCCTTCAATTAGCAGACCGATCTGTAGTGCATCCTAGGGGCATAGTGGAAGACCTTCTGGTTAAGGTTGGCAAATTCAATTATCCTGTTGATTTTTTGATTTTGGACATAAATGAGGATGTGAATGTGCCATTGATACTGGGAAGGCCTTTCCTGGCCACCGCCAAGGCCCTCATAGATGTGCATGATGGGACCTTAGTTTTGAGGGATGGTGAGGAGCGAATAGCGTTTTCAATTTCTAATACTCGCCCTGCTTCGTCACCTCTGCATGTTGTATCTCACCAGGAGCACGAGTCTGTCGTTGACTCGCTACGACACAACACCACACTGCGACCAAGTGTAATCGCAGAATGGAAGGGACTGCTGTATAGTGGCTCAAGTGATAAAAATCGAATCCACGGGTCTCTAGAGTTACTATTACTCAGCTTCAGTTTATTATTTAGCAAACCAGATTAAGATAAAAGAACTAAAACTACTCTAGCAAACCACAGTTAAAGTTAATCTAATTACAGGTTGGGAACTCACTTAGGTATGATTCCTCCTAGCCACTAGCCAGATTAATGATTGATGATCTCTAACCTGTTTCACTTTCATTCACAATGCGGAGAATCCTTGACTAGACCTTGAGTCTCGACTAAAGGAACAAGGCCCTCATGAGTCAATTGCCTAGAGGGACGTATCCTTCTCTAGAACAACTGATCAAGGCGTTCTGAACTAGACTCCCTCTATCGAAAGGGGTTCTAAATCGATACAAAGCAGTGAATCAACCCTCGACTAAAGCAATCGATCCACTACTATCAATCTATGGTGCTCTATTGACCTAATCAGGTATTCCCTCTCATAGAATCAAAGCAGAATCAATAATCTCGACTAAAGCAGAATTGAATCATGAAAACATGCATAGATTGAATATGAACTCAAGATTATCCAGTCAGAGTACTCATACAATCATCCAATCAAACAAACATAGCTAGGGTTCCTCAAAACCTAAGTGAAGGGAAGTTACTCCATAGAGAAGAGAGAGACTGCAGTAAGAATCTTCAGATGATCAGTCTTCACGTCCGGGCTTGTTCCTCGAGCTTCCAAGGCGAAGAAATCCTCCTTCTCTACTCCAAGAATGCCCTAAAATCGCCCTCTCTCTCTAGGGTTCGTCCCTTGGGTGTTTGGGATCCAAAACCCAGCTCTCCCTCTTCTTTGGTTCGGAATTTGGCTTAAAACCAGGAAATCCCGACTCGCACGGCCAGGGTGCACGGCCGTGCACATCACCATTCTGGCCGTGCACCTCAAAACGCGGCGTATCAATTAGTTGAACCTCAGCCAACTCGCACGGCCAGAATTTTATGTTGCACGGCCGTGCGTGGCCACGCACAATCCCGTGCGTGCCCACGCACAATCCCGCACGGCCAAACTGGTCACTTGCACGGCCGTGCGTGGCCACGCTGGTCTGCCCGTGCAGCTTGCTCAGCCTCTGTTTAATGCTTCGTTTCTCCCTCGTCCGGACTCCGAATCAATCGCCGTTTGATCCCAGACGCTCGTAGTCTCGTCCTCTTTCATTTCATAACAAGCTTGCATGATTCTTTGTCCATAAAGTGAGGTAGAAATCCATTCTTCTTCAGGTCATGCCCGAGTTTCTTCTCTCGAATCGTCAATTGATCTCTGATTGACTTGAAACTTGCGCCTATGCTTCACTTTATGTGCTAGGACCTGAAATGGGACAAGGGAATACAACCTAGCATAAAATAGGCCAAAGACGCAATAATTCAAGCTCAAACAATCAAGAAACAAAGGGGAAAACATGTGTAAATACCGAGTCATCAAATCCCCCCACACTTAACTGTTTGCTTGTCCCCAAGCAAACCTAACTCAAACCAATGCAACTCTTCAGACCTCTATAGCAACAAACAACCCAGATCTTAGGTAGAGGACTTCCTAGATCATTTAGCAGCTTACGAGGTCAACCGACGCACAAGTCATCTCATAACTTCTTCGGCGAGTCGGCATCATGGCAAATAGTGAACAGAGGACAAATGAATTGTGGATGAGGAGATTCTCAAAAACAACAGATCATGGACTCACATTTTTCAAGGTGCTCTATTTTCTGCTTCTTGAAGATGGTTGAGACCCCTTTTTTTTCTGTTTTGCTTGTTTTCTGATATTTTTCTTTTCTTTTCTTTTTCAAGGGTCCCAACCTGCTCTTACCGGCCATGCCAGGAGCGGATGTCTCGAGCCTCGTGCGGGGGAAAGACATGTAAGGGGGCTGGAGGTAGTAGGTGGAAATTGGGAACGAATTCCCGTCTCCCCTTACACACTTTCGCCCTATTCGCACGGGAGACGTTTATTTTGAAGCACATTTTCGAGCACCTGTTATTTTCAAAACATGATACAAGAGTCCATGACAGGTAGAGAATCCACAACACCACACAATTCAAGGGTCCTAAGATCACTAATTCACTCAATCAACCAACACAATATGAAGAAGCAATGAGACTTCTTAAATGCATCAACATCCTCCATAGTGCTACACTACCTCCCTAGGTTGCATATTACTATAAAGACTGTCAATTCAAAGCATACTGAGCAGGCAATTGCAAGGAACACGTACTTGGAGCCCTCAAATTTCAAAATTTGGACAGTGGACTAGGCTCCAAGCACACAAACAACCAAACATTCACCCGCATAAATAATCGAACACCCCCCCACACTTAAGCACGACATTGTCCTCAATGGAGGAAAGATAAAGAGGGTAGAACGAAGTTACCAGATCAAGGGTGAATGATGATGAACGGGTCAGGCGGTGCATTCCAGAAAGAGAGAGTAATCAGAACACAAACACCACACAAAATCTCACAAAGGTTGAGTTATTGACTCTAAAATCAAAGAACAAAACTGACTCCACCGAAGAGAAATAGAGAAAGAAATGCAAACCGACTGGTTGGGTTGCCTCCCAACAAGCGCTTCTTTCACGTCGTGAGCCGGACGATGGCTCCTAAGTTTCGGTCCATGCTAGAACCTCCTTGAAGTTGAGGTTCTCGTCGATGAGGTGGAGTCTCAAGTCATGAGCATGTGGTGTGGCAGGTGATGAAGGCTCATGTACTTGATGCAGATGAAGTCTCCACCCTCGAGACCTCTCCTTCTCTTCTCTCGTCTCATTGCCCCAAACCAGATATGACAACATTGATTGGCCACCATCGCGTCCACCAAGAGGGACCGATGTCGAGGTGGCCTTAGTCTGGCAAAGAGACACTGCAAATGGGTCCTTGCCAAGCAGTTCCTCAAAGTTTGGTGGAGATATCACATGTAACTCATGGCCGGTGCAGGCCTCTTCCACCTGAACTCCGTCCTCAGCCTGGACGCCAATTGCTTCTTCAACCTCCCTTCCTTCTTCATGTGGTATCACCCCTGGGAAATGATCAAGAACTCCTCCAGCTTCACTTTCATCATCCTCCACAACTTCTTTCTGCACCCTTTCTTGCTCTTCTTCTTCTAGCACGGATTGGAGAGCAAGTTGCCAAGCAATTTCTTTCATGAGATCTTCTTGCATCTCCTCACTCATGCCCGCCTCTTCAAAGCTCTGGTTGGGGTGTGGGAAGGTGTGGTCGGCTACGACATGACAGGACTGATCATGATCATCACGGGAGCTCTCCGTGACAACTTCAGTGTGTTCCACAATGCCCTTGTAGCCTTCTTCTTCCTCCTCCTCTTCTTGTATGGTAGCAGAAGGGTGATCTAGAGCAGGTTGCGCCCAAGATCGCTCAAGATCATCGACGCTCTTCTTAAGGCTCAGGAGGATCTCATCTGTTTCACGATAGGCCTGGACACACTGATCCATCCTGGAGCATGTTCTCTCACAGTCTCGAGCGTACTGCTCCATGAGTAACTCCAGCGCCGATGGCCCTTCTGGTTGTGGGAGAAATTCTTCTTGATAATGAGGTTGTTCTTGATATGCCCAGGGGTCCGGTTGTTCTCCGTAGTAAGGGGGTTGGTACTGGAACCCGAACCCATAGTCTTCTCCGCCTTGATTGCTCCAGGGAGTCTCGGGGTAATACCACCCAGATGGTGGTGGATACCCCCAATTGTTGGAGAAGCCATGAGGATCCATGATTCAGATCTGCACCAACAAAAACAAAAACACCCAAGTGAAAAGCAAGGGTGGAAAAGAAAAGAAAAACGCTAAAGTAACAAACTTCTGCCTTTCCTAATACTCTAGAAAGTCCCCGGCAACGGCGCCAAAAACTTGACTCGCTACGACACAACACCACACTGCGACCAAGTGTAATCGCAGAATGGAAGGGACTGCTGTATAGTGGCTCAAGTGATAAAAATCGAATCCACGGGTCTCTAGAGTTACTATTACTCAGCTTCAGTTTATTATTTAGCAAACCAGATTAAGATAAAAGAACTAAAACTACTCTAGCAAACCACAGTTAAAGTTAATCTAATTACAGGTTGGGAACTCACTTAGGTATGATTCCTCCTAGCCACTAGCCAGATTAATGATTGATGATCTCTAACCTGTTTCACTTTCATTCACAATGCGGAGAATCCTTGACTAGACCTTGAGTCTCGACTAAAGGAACAAGGCCCTCTTGAGTCAATTGCCTAGAGGAACGTATCCTTCTCTAGAACAACTGATCAAGGCGTTCTGAACTAGACTCCCTCTATCGAAAGGGGTTCTCAATCGATACAAAGCAGTGAATCAACCCTCGACTAAAGCAATCGATCCACTACTATCAATCTATGGTGCTCTATTGACCTAATCAGGTATTCCCTCTCATAGAATCAAAGCAGAATCAATAATCTCGACTAAAGCAGAATTGAATCATGAAAACATGCATAGATTGAATATGAACTCAAGATTATCCAGTCAGAGTACTCATACAATCATCCAATCAAACAAACATAGCTAGGGTTCCTCAAAACCTAAGTGAAGGGAAGTTACTCCATAGAGAAGAGAGAGACTGCAGTAAGAATCTTCAGATGATCAGTCTTCACGTCCGGGCTTGTTCCTCGAGCTTCCAAGGCGAAGAAATCCTCCTTCTCTACTCCAAGAATGCCCTAAAATCGCCCTCTCTCTCTAGGGTTCGTCCCTTGGGTGTTTGGGATCCAAAACCCAGCTCTCCCTCTTCTTTGGTTCGGAATTTGGCTTAAAACCAGGAAATCCCGACTCGCACGGCCAGGGTGCACGGCCGTGCACATCACCATTCTGGCCGTGCACCTCAAAACGCGGCGTATCAATTAGTTGAACCTCAGCCAACTCGCACGGCCAGAATTTTATGTTGCACGGCCGTGCGTGGCCACGCACAATCCCGTGCGTGCCCACGCACAATCCCGCACGGCCAAACTGGTCACTTGCACGGCCGTGCGTGGCCACGCTGGTCTGCCCGTGCAGCTTGCTCAGCCTCTGTTTAATGCTTCGTTTCTCCCTCGTCCGGACTCCGAATCAATCGCCGTTTGATCCCAGACGCTCGTAGTCTCGTCCTCTTTCATTTCATAACAAGCTTGCATGATTCTTTGTCCATAAAGTGAGGTAGAAATCCATTCTTCTTCAGGTCATGCCCGAGTTTCTTCTCTCGAATCGTCAATTGATCTCTGATTGACTTGAAACTTGCGCCTATGCTTCACTTTATGTGCTAGGACCTGAAATGGGACAAGGGAATACAACCTAGCATAAAATAGGCCAAAGACGCAATAATTCAAGCTCAAAAAATCAAGAAACAAAGGGGAAAACATGTGTAAATACCGAGTCATCAGTCGTGTATCCTTCTGTGTTGCCTATTTTGCAGGATCCGCCTCCCATACCTTCGCCGCCACTCCCGTCCACTCCATCATCGAAGGAACAAATTAGGGAGGAGTGGCGGCCGAAACAGCAGGCAGCTAAGCCTGCTCGAAAGAAAGCCGGAGACCACTATGAGCTGGTCCCGCCCCCACCTTGGCCATCCGAGTATTCACTCGCTTGCATCCTGCCGAATGGCCAAGTTGAGTTGGCAAATGCTGGTGGCCACATTCGGCGTGTGCATGGCCACCATTTGAAGCTGTACCTCAAGAGCGAGGTGGATCCGCTCTTGAAGGCACCTGCCCCTTCACCTCACTGAGCATCCACCGACTGGCGTCCAGCTAAAAGACGGTAAAGAAGCACTTGTGGGGAGGCAACCCCACCTAGGTTTGCATTTTCTTACCTTTTTCCTTTTGATTTTTTGTGTTTTTTTTTTAGTCTTGAGGGGTTGTTCACGAGTTGTATGTCGTTCTGGAGTGAAAACAGGTCATTTTCGGAGTTCTGGCAGCTCACACGGCCAGCCCTGAATGTCACACGGCCGTGTGGAAAATAATTTTGGCCGTGTGAGCTCTCGCAGAATTCCACACGGCCAGATGAGATGTTGGCACGGCCGTGTGGGAATTTGCCTTGGCCGTGTTTGCTCTCGCATATTTTGGTACGGGCAAATGAGCACTCGGCACGGCCGAGTGAAATTCCTCGGCCAGCCTGTGTCGGCCGACACGGGCAAAAGTGCACCTGACCTGGCCGTGTCAGCATCCACTTCAGCAACCTCGGCGACGAGTAGGCTGTACTCGTTGCCCATCTCAGTGTGTTTTGTTTTTCGTTTTAGACTTGTGTGTGTTTGCTCCATGTGTGAGGAGCTTGAACTTAGTGTCGGTTTTTTTTGTTTTTGTTTTTTTTTCTTTTGTGGATTGTTTTTGCTGTAGCCGTCTGGGCTACCACTTATCCCTAACACAACGTGTGCTAGTGTGTTCTTGGTGTTCGATTCGTGCAGAACTGTCCATCTTCCCGTTTGTTTCTCGCTGACTGGTCCACTTCCAGTCCCCCAGCAATTTCAATCCGGTAACATCGTTCCCCTTCTCTTTTCCTCTGCTCCATTGAGGGCAATGTTGTGCTTAAGTGTGGGGGGGGGGGGTGCTTTGTATCGGTTGGAATGTATATTTGTGTGCTTGGAGCCTAGTCCACTGTCCAAATCTCGAGATTTGAGGGCTCCAAGTACTGCTGCTTGATCATATTGGCACTGTGTTTTGATTGATGAATTGAATGGTTTTCGGATTGATGCATGACAGCTTGATTGTGACTAGGACAACCTATGATGAGGACTAAGACGTGCAGTAGAGTTGTGTAGGGGTTCATTTTTCCAACTGTTTGCTTACCAACTGTGACTTGGATTGATTACCTGTTCTTGACAGTCTTTTATGCATCTAGTTCAGGGTATCAGAATGTGAGATAGAGCATATAGGTAGCCATGTGAGATTTGGGCCTGCTCGTTTCTTTCTTGTGCGATAGATCCCTCTTCCATGATGTGTAGCATTCACGTTGTCACTAGCTAGGATGATGGGGGCATAGGATTAGCCCACGACCAAATTTGACTATCCTGATGTGTCATATCCCCTAGTCAGCCCTTTTGAGCCGTGTGTTATCCCTTTCTTTTGGTCTGAAATGGAAAAAAAATCACCCTGTTTACATCTTTTAGAAGGTTCAACAGAGTGGTTTTTACATATTCTCTGTTGTTTCTCCTAAATTTGATGTGAGTGTTGGAGGTAGTGCTTAAAAGTTGAGGTGGGCATGTGTTTGAAATATATGCAGAAGTGGTGGCTCTCTTAAGAAATGAAAAGAAAATGAAAGAAAAACAAAGAAAAATTGAAAGCAAAGAGAGCCACTACCAAAAATTTGAATAATGCCCAGTAAGTAGTGTTTCTTAGCAGTCTGGCTTGGAAATGCTGACATTTATACCTCCTTCGCTCTTGTGCTCTTGAGATATTGAGTAATGCAAAATAGCAGAAAGGAAATACCGGTTTGTTTGACTGTGATTGTTTGGGTTTGGAAATGTGGAACCTTGTGCTATGAATACTTCCACTACCTAAAAGGCCTTTTCCCCATGTCCAAGACCCTAGCCAGTCATGTGAACCTGTGTCTAAGACCTCCTGATTAGTTAGTGGTGACACTCCATATGTGAACTCTAGCATTTAGAGGCTGCCATCATGGTGAAGAGATGTTAGGGATTGAGAGAAATAACATGCGCATTTTTCGCATCAAATTGTCCTGACCCCACTGGTCGAGAGTGAGTGATTCATTTTCATATTCTATATACTCTTGTACCCCGGTGAGGACCTAGATTGCTCGGTCTCTATTCTGATGTCTTGAGTTGTATGCATGAGTTGACTGTTTTGAGTAAGTGGTTGAGTCAAGTCTAGGTTGGTTGGTGAACAGAAGGGAGACTCTTCCTTTACTCGATTTTGCTGCACTCGAATGTCCTTTGTGGTGGTTGTCCAGGTTGCTGTTGAAGTTAGTCATGTATTGATGTTTGAAAACCAGTACGATTCACGTGTTCTGTGCCTTTATAACTTGTCCCCAATGTTGGTTGATTGAAATATGTGAGCTTACCTTGTGTCTGACTTGGTTTGCTTGGGGACAAGCAAACGGTTAAGTGTGGGGGAGTTTGATAGACCGTTAATTACACATGTTTTTACCCCTGTTCTTACACCGTTTGAGATGTGATTTCTCGTGTTTTAGGCCGATTTCACGCTAGATTGTGCTTGTTTGTGATATTTCAGGTCCTAGTACGTGAATGGAGGCTTGGGAGCGAGTTTGGGGTCGATTGGACGAAGATCGGGCCCGAGGCAAGTCAAAAAGGAGGCCACACGGGCACACCCACAACTCACACGGCCGTGCAAGTGACCACTTTGGCCGTGTGAGATTGTGCGAGAGCAAACACGGTCTGCCCTGATGTTCACACGGCCGTGTGAAGGAGTGGCTTGGCCTTGCGAGTTTTGCCGAGAGCAAACACGAGCAAATGGAATTCTCACACGGTCGTGCGACCCTGGCCGTGTGAGAAGCCTGAAGATCGAACTAATTGAAACGCAGCGTTTTGACTCACACGGGAAACTGGGTATGCCACACGGCCTTGTGGCCCTGTCCGTGTGAGTCGGGATTTCCTGGTTTTAACCCAATTCCGGGCTGCAAGAGAGGGGATCGGACTTTTTGAGCAAATACAGAGCCCTAGAGAGAGAAAGGACGAAGAACACATCCTAGAAGCTATCTTGGAGCTGGGTTTCATCAAATCAAGCTTGGAGATCGTCATAGGAGTGGAAATCATCATCCCAGAGCAGATTCTTCCCATAATTATGAGTATGACTGCTTTGTATCTTGTTTTCCTCTCTCTCTCTCTCTCTATGGAGTAGAACCCCTCTCTCACTTGGGGATGAAGAACCCTAGTTCTATGTGTTAGGGATTGATTGTAATGACTTGGGATGATATTACTGTTTGATTTT